CCTGTTCCAGCACACCTACAAATTCCTAGGAATGGATCTGTGTACCACATTCTGTTTATCAATTCAATAGCTGATGGACATTTGGGTTGTTTCCATTTTGGATCTTGTGAATAATGTTGCTATGACCATTCATGTGCAAGTTTTTGTGTGGTTATATGTTTTCATTTCTCTTGGATATATATATGGGAATGTGGGAATGGAATTTCTCGGTCAAATGGTAACTCTTAAGTTTTTGAGGAATACCCAGGCTGTTTTCCAATGTGGCTGCACCCTTTTACATTCCAACCAACAATGTATGAGGGTTTCAATTTCTCAACATCCTTGTCAGTATTGTTTTATCTCTTTTTTTTTATTATACCCATCCCAGTCCGTGTCATGTGGTATCTCATGGTAGTTTTGATTTCTATTTCCCTGATGACTACTGAGGAGCCCTGGTGGTGCAATGGTTAAAGTGCTCTGTTCCTAACATAAAGGTCGATGGTTTGAACTCACCAGCCACTCCACAGGAGAAAGACGTGGCACAGTCTGCTTTGGTAAAGATTTACAGACTTAAAACCCTATGGAGTAGTCCTATTCTGTCCTATAGGGTTGCAGTAGGTTTGTTTTTGTTTAGGTTTAGCATATAGTCCATCCTGGAGAATGTCTTATGTAGACTTGAAAAGAATGTATATTCTGCTGTTGTTGAGGAGAATTAGGCTTAGTTGGTTTGTAGTGCTTTCCAAGTCTTCTGTTTCTTTGTTGATCTTCTGCCTAATTGTTCTATCTATCACTGAAAGTGGTGAATTGAAGTCTCCAACTATTATTGATGACTTATCTATATCTTTCTTCATGTCTTTCAGTTTTTGCTTCTTGTATTTTGATGATCTGTTATTAGGTGCACATAGGAGCTCTGGTAGCGTAGTGCCTAAGGCACTTGACTGCTAACTAGAAGGCTGGTGGTTCAAACCCATCAGCCACTCCTCAGAAGGAAGGTTGGGCAATCTACTTCCTCAGTGATATCACCTTGGAAACCCAAGGAGGGATCACTATGAGTCAGGGCTGACTCGATGGCACATAACAACAATAACAACAACAATGTATGTATTATATCTTTCTGATGGATCAATTCTCTTATCATTATAAAATGTCAGTCTTTATTGCCAGTAACTTTTGAAAAAGTGTATTTTGTCTGGTATTAGTACTGCCACTCCAGCTTTCTTACTATTGGTATTTACATGATATATTTTTGTCATTCCATCTATTTGTATTTTTGAATCTAAAGTCTGCTTCCAATAGAAAACATAGAGTTTAATCTTGTTTTTCCTTAGTCTGACAATGTCTCCCTTTTGATTGGAATGTTTGAGCTGCTCATGTTTACTGTAATTATTGATATCAATGGATTTATGCCTGCCATTTCACTGTTTTTTTTTTTTTTTTCCCTACAGGTCTTGTGTCTTTGTTGTTCATTTATTCCTCCATTACTTTCTTTTGTATTGAGTATTTTTCTTCCTGTTCTGGAATTCCAATGACACATAAGTTATTCCTTTTGATGGTATCCCACATGAACCTTAGGCTTTCTTCATTTTGTTTTGATT